TTAGGGAAACAAGCATTTTTTGTGGTAAAGAAAAAAGAATTGCAAAAAATGTAAACAGTGATATTCTGGGCCTTGGAAATTACTTTTAAAATGAGTTTAATGCATGCTGAACTTAAAGGCACATGTGCATTTGCTCAATTAGTCTGTCACTTCCTTTAAACACACGTTACATGACTTGTTTTATTGCTGTTCACTTCCATGAATCAATGCAATAATAGCCAAGAGGCTGCAGATAATTTGGCTTATAGAGATTTGAGAGAAAAATACTTCAAGTTATGCAAGTTTTTTTTGCTGTTTTCAAGGGAATTCAGATGGGAACTTGAAAAAATTTGACTAAGAGAGGTTCAACTGTAATTCTAAATACAGTATACAGTATTTGTCATAAAATTTCATTCATCAAAATTTGCTTTCAGAATCAAATATGATGCACATCTGAACATTAGTAATTCTGAAATAAAATGTATGCATTTTTATACCTCCTGATGATGTACACCCTATTTTTCTCCTTTTAGTTTTGATAAAAAGTGCGCCTGGCACATTACTTGCATAACTCACATTTCCCATAGTCTCCACTTGTCAAATTTATTGTTCATATTCCTCAGAACTCTCCAGTGTAATCTATAGATCTCCTAACTTGAAACCTCCCTATCCTCCCACCTTCATAAATCAAATGACATGAAGCCTTTGAGATATTATTCTGAGACTATAACTGTGGACCAAGGAAATGCAAGAGCAATTAACCGGAACAATGATTTGCTGCGTTTCACCAGGAAGTGAATGACTAATTGGACAAATGTACCCTCTTGCTTTAAAGTTCATCATTTTGCCGCATCCCCTTCTAAAAAAACAGATTCATTCAAAATAAAAATACCATACATCAGAGTACTGTATGATGTACAAATACATGAATACTGTACTGATTGGTGCCCTTTTTTAAATGAATAAAAAGAGCAAGACACCAAGCATTTAGTGAGCACACTTCAAAGCACAAGGTATTCAGCCTGCTGCTGTTAAGAGATAATTATCAATTGATTGAACAATTTACAAAGAATTTTTGACAAGAAATTGTATAGAGATAACAGTTCTCTCTGCATGATGGTAACATCCTCCAAAATTTCAGAGCAGAGAATCTTTTTTTTATCCAATTATGAAAATTTCAATGCCTTTGAAAAGTTTGGAATGCTGGGCATAACAAAAGAAGATTGTTCAGTAGTGCAGTGAATAATATAGTATAGATATGTACTGTACTGTATTTACTTGAGTACCACGCACCTTCAAGTAAGGCGTGCAGAGGGGTTTTTGAGTTGGAAATTTTGCTAAAATCTTATCCCCAAGTAAGATGTGCACCCCAATTTTTAGTGAATCTGAAACCACAAAATTTTGCAAATAAAAACCAAAAAATTTACCTTGGGCATGAATTGAACAAAAATCTCATCAATTTTCAATTTTTTCAGTAACAAAGGTTTCTTGCTACATTTGCTCAAAATATCTCCATTATAATCAAGTATAATGCACACATAACTTCCTAAAACTTCTTTAAAATGTTGTACCTGCTTATGATGCGCACCCCTTTTTTTCTTTTGAAATTTGGGAAAAAAGGTGCACATGGTACTTGAGTAAATATGGTATATATACATACAATGATATTAAATTTTTTTAATCAAGCGAGGGTTGGGTGGGGAGAGGATTTGGATTTGGGAATCTTGATTGTACCTTGTGAACACTGAAAAGTGGAAAATGAAGCTTTCCGTTCATTCATCACGCACAACTCAAGAAATTTGAAGAAAAACTTGCAAAAAACTGCTAGGGGCCAGCCAAACATCTCAGACTGGTTGAGCGGGACAGCCAGTCAATGAAAAAGGACCACTGCTTTATTCAATAATAACACCTCGAGATTAATATTTTTTTAAATCCTATTCTGACTGGCTTATCCATCAAGAAAAAGTGACATTGGTTAGGCGGGAAGCCAGCATCACATTATCACCTCTGACTGCAGGAAACACGCGACTCCTTTCTAACTCTGTTCACTTGTCTTCACCTTTCTGACATCCTCCTAAAATGGTTCGTCTGACTCATTCATTGCTTCATTTATAAATGGGGTCTTAGTCTCAGCTTAGCTTCCAGAAAATGAGGCACTTCATTCTGATGTCCTGCTGGGGAACAGGCTCCAGGAGAAATGTCCTCTATCTCATGCATGGGTCTGCCAAAATCCAGTTTGCCAGGGCTCAAAAAGCCTCTTATTCCAATGGGCTAACCAGCAAGTACTCATGAATTTTTTCTACTCCGATTTGTTTCATTTTTTTGGCCCATTATGGACATTTTAGCGACAGCTACTGCAGGGCATCAATCCAAGAAATGAGCAGAAGCTCAAAACCATGCACTATACTTATGTTTAGAGCAATTCAGGAGACCTTTGGAGTCAATTTTTTTCCTTGGCTCTATCGTAAACATTGACAGCATTTCTTCCATGTGCTTGTACTGTAAATCGCGTAGAATTTTTTCAAGCAGAGATAAACCAGACATATATTACGGATTCAGAAGGTTGACAAATGAAGTTCAGAGCGGATAAGCAGAGGAAGAAAGTATCTGTCAGCGACTATATATATCTGACAACCTCCATCCAAGTCCCCTTTGCAGACAGTCAAATGACGGTTTCTCTATCCCTGAATCCAATTATCCAAACATGGGTGACACCATCATCAGATATCAGGTCATCAGTACCTTGGGCATCACATTATAGAAACCCGGGTTGCTTAATTGTCCTCAAAACGCCGACTTATGCGGCGTTCAATGCAAATCCTTCTTGTGTGGGCCGGGTACGTGTCCTGATTTGTCAGTACTTGCCCTGAATTTCAACTGAGTTGAAAGGCGGGCGATCAGTCATGAATAAAAACATTGCGTATGCAAAACTGTCTCGTTTAGGTGATTGATGAGATGCCTCCGGGGAAATATGACACCGTCAAAAGCCCGTCATCGTTGAAGAAGAGTCTACTTTAATTCTGACAGCGAGGCTCTGGCATCCAAAGAAGCTATACATATAGGGATGTATCCTGTCCTGATAGCAAATTTTTCTTTCTATACCTTAAAAACCCAGAGTTTAGTATCTTATGTGGCTGGGGATTTCCCCAAATAAAAGGAGAATTTATGAGTATAACAGTACCACAATCATCCTGGGACTGGCTGGTGTATTCTCCTTCTGAATCTCATCCCCATTCTTAGCTCACCTCTGCTTGAACAAATCCTCAGAGAAATTGCGTGAATTATTGTGAGTGTGTGAATTTTCATGGGTCCATTAGATCCCAGACAAAGGAATTGAATTGTGCAGCCATCAGAAGGTAATAAGTTTTGAATAAGAACTCAAACTCTTTTCAATGTAATTCATTATCATTGCCCAGATAATCATTTGGCTGTTAATAGGCTGTCATATGGCATTGTTAGGCAGAGTCAATTGTAAGACTAGTTGGTTAGCTCAGAAGAATGAATGAAATAATTTAAGTGAAAAGGCCCCTTGACACTATATTCTTACTTTTCCTCTCAAAAAGGAATGAAAGCTTTTATACCCAGGTGCGCAGACTGGATCAGGTGATTTCTTCCTGGCTCAGGATTGGCCAATTTTGGAAAAATTGAGGAAGTGATGACCACCTCTTGGCCTTGGGTGGGGCTCAGTGAGTCTTGCAAAAGCGGGATTTTGGCAAGGCTCACTTGCCTCAAGATGCAGCAATTTTGTTGTTGCTGGCCAGTTGTGGCTGGATGCTGGAGCATTGCTGCATTTGAGATGTGACATTTATTTTTTCTTGAAGAAGATGCTGAGTTGTTGATTCTTTTTTGACAAAAATAATTATCAATTTATTGGAACCTCAATGAAGGGGCTCCTGGCTGTTGTGTCCAGATGCAATGCAGCTCCAGCATCTGGTTGAAACCAGACCCAAAAAATTGTTGACTCACTGAGCCTCACTCAAGGACAAGAAGTGGTTATCACTTCTTCAATTTTGCCTGAATCAGCCAATCCTGAGCCAGGAAGTTCTTCCTGACCCAGTCCAAGCAGCATCTGGGTATAAAAACCCTCATTCCTCTTCGAGAGGCAAAGTCAGAACCTAGTGTTAAAGACCTTTTAACTTTAAACTACCCGATTCAATATTCTGAGCTAACCATTGACTCTGCCATTAAAACCATTGAATTAACAGCCAATTGATGAACTGGGCAAAGAGAATGAACTCCTCTGAAAAGAGTTTGAGTTCTTATTCAAAACTTGCATTCTGATGGCTGCAAAATTCAATTCCTTTGTCTGGGATCCAATGGACCCATGACAATTCACACACTCACAATAATTCACACAATTTCTCTGAGGATTTGTTCAAGCAGAGGTGAGATAAGAATGGGGATGAGATTCAGAACTTTCATTATATATATATGGCTTGTGTTTAAAAAAACTGCCAGAAAATTTAGTCTTAATTTCACTCATGCACTGTTCCATGCAATCAAGCATTCACATACAGTAGTATTTATTGCTGATAAAAAGCAAAACAACCCAGAAGGAGAATATGTGCTGTTGATTTCAAGTTTTTGAGGCTTTGGTGCCTTTTTGAGGAAGGGTTGCATCAAGTAGTAGAGCGTCTGCAGTGCGGACAAAAAAAAATGAAAAAAAATGAATGTCAGAAGTGGGACTCGAACCCACACCTGCAAAACTAGACTGTGACCTGATCGCAGCGCCTTAGACCACTAAGCCATCCTATGATTTTTCAAGCCATTGTTACTTTTATGGCTTTTTATCATCACCTGAAAAATGGAATTGAGCACTTAAAAATTATTTGAATTTGAAATCATAAACATAATCATTGAGGCAAGTATTTCTGAGCATTCCTCGTAAAAAAAAAATTGCTATGCAGTATTACTGTATACAAATTTAATATTTTATTAGATCCAGTAAGCAGAGATCCTTATATGAAGCCTGATTTCATCATTTGACGCATCCTGTGGATGAAATATACTCGTACAGTACATATTTTTCGATGGCAAAACGTCAAACCTTCATGTTCAGTCATCTGGGATTATGAGAAGAAAATCCGATTTCTGAAATGAAAATTTCAACCACAAAAAAAAGAGCTAGCAGATTATCTCGTGCTTCAAGTGACAAACAAGGGCTGGGGATCAGGGATCCTGCTGAAACGCTTGAGTGCAGATTTCTCCAAAAGGAACCGGTCGGTCATTGCAAAAAAATTGGCTCTTTCATCAGCCAGTACTGAGAGCAAATCCACCAGCTTCACGTTGTCAGGCTCATAGAAAACTAGTGTGAGTATCTTCCTTGAAGCATCTGCAAAGGTCTTCATGGATTTCAAGTACTGAACATTGAGTTCCGCCGGCATTGAGGACAATCTTGTCAATTTCTGAAGCTGGAAATTGGTCAGGGCCAGTTCTTTCACTGTTTTGCGTCTGTGTCGCTCAATGGGCTCCTTTTTGCTCATTTCCAGAGCCCTGTAGTACACCTACATGGATAAATACGCTTTATTTGCTACTTTTCAGCCTTCACAAGGTTCAAAACATTTTCTCCATGCCCTGAATTGAAAGGAACACTGATGAAAAAAAGATAAAAAGTTTCACATTTAAATTCATTCTTTGATGCTTCAAGTAAAATATCAAATTGACCTTTCTAACAATTGATCAACTAGAAAAACTAAATACAGAAAAGCAAATAATTCTGTCACAGAAAGCATATGAATAATGTTGCTGAAACAAAATATAAAAAACAAGAGTGTACTTATATGGAGGTACAGGAGGGAAGAGTATTCATATCAATGCAAAGGTGATGTAAAGTTGCCCCCTGCACAATGGACATCCTGCACAACAGATTTTTGCACAAGATACCACATCTGAGGTTGGTTTTCTCTCCTGCGCAATGGACTAAATCTGCATGACAACCTTATGTTGATTCAAAATTAATGGTAAAAATTAAAAATTTAAATTTTCTAATGATGAAATAAGCATAACCAACATTCAACACAAAAGACTAGTCTGTTGTGTAAAATGAGTCCATTGTGCAGGAGCAACTGTATTTTCACTTAGATTGTACCTCCAATTTCAGCCTAAAATAAAACTTTTAATTCTCAAATTTGTTGGTTTTCCCCAGGAAAAACAAAGTTTTGGTTTGTCAACAGAGGGATTTTTCTGAGAAACCAAAACTTTGTTGATCAAACCATTTTTTACCAAGCCATTTGTTAACTGAGGGTCCATGGTATATATACAAGTGCATGTATTCTTTATTGTCCCCCTTTTTTGACAAATATGCACAATGCTTGGCAGTTGGTAAGCACATTTTGAATCACAAGGTAATCAGCCTATTCCCAGATAATTATTAATTGATTGACTAATTTAGAATGAATCTTTGATGAAAAATTGACCTGGCTAATACTGTTCCCTGGTCCACCAAGATTTCACAGAGAATTTTTTTTATTGAATTGTGAGAATCCCTGGTCATTTAGAAATTTAGTCCTGGTGGTAAGGAATGCAGGACATAAGAAAATAATATTTTTGGACATACACCTATCATGAGAGAAAATCCTGGGGTTAAGCCTCTTGGGGATAAGGCATTTGTGATGGGCAAAATTGAGCTAATAAGGCATGCAGCAGGAAGACTCACAGCTCTAAGAATAGCCTGATTGTTTCTCACTGATAAACCCTGTAGGCGATGCAGCAACTCCCAGCAGTCTTTTTTCCAGGCAAGCAGCAACTTGGCAACACCAAGAGGAATTTGCTTGGATAACTTGGCCTTCATGTACTTCCCTGTTATTGCCTGGTGGAGAAAGTAAACTTGAATGACCTTTTCTCGCCATTGGCCTTCAATGTTCTACTCATTTTCACAAGTTAGGTATATTGTTTCAACAGTTTGAGCTCTCTCTTGAAGTGCATTTGAATGGACTCCAAAATTACTGGGATTTTCAAGTTAGCAACTTTGGATCATATTTGAGTTGGTTGATCAATGGAAATTTTTTCTGGCCAAATGTTTACCGCTGTTTTTTTCTTTTTTCTTTACTGCATGAATAATTTTGATCCTTTGTGATATGAGTAATCATTTTCAAAGAAAATAATTTTTATCCCTTTCAATTTGTTTTCTGGAACAAGTTTTCAAAATATTCAAGCCACTTTGACAATGAAAAGCTGACATATTTTTAAGAGGTTTGACCCCAATATTTCAATTAGGGAGCTTTGAATTGCATTAAATTTCAGGGAATGGGCCACATTATATTGATTGAAAATCCAAGTTAGGGGGCTTGACTTGATGAGGTACAACTAAGAAAAAATTATGTGTTGCACGGAAAAGATATTTGGAAAAAATAACATAAAAATCAATTTGTTTTCACAGTATCTCAGAGCT